CCCACAGCCCACCAGGGGGCGGGCTGGCTGGCATGTGGTGCTGGGGAATTGAACCGTGGTCCCTGTGCTTCGCTGAACTTGTTCTAAGTAGGTGCTTTAGACCACTGAGCCATCTCTCCAGCCCTGGCTTAAAAATTTTAAGGCCAAAAAAAAAAAAAAAATTTAGGGCTGGCCAGATATGTCAGAGAATTAAAGCACCCGCTTAGGCAGATGCAGGGGCCAGGGGTTTGATCCCTAGGCTTGCCATGCTGGCCCCACCCCCAGGGCTCACTGAGACAGGTGATTAAGACTGGGTGTGGTGCTTGTGCTTGCCAGGCAGGCACTTGTACCACTGAGCAGCTCCCTGGATTATCTCTTGATATAGCAAAATCGTCATAATTTGGGGAGGCAAAAGCGACGATTAGAAGAGTGACAAGTGTACTGAAGGTGCCCCCTGGGCTCTGGGTTTCTGGTGAAGGGACAGATAATCCCTTGCTTTGAGAAGGGCAGAGCCTCAGAAACAACCCTTTTCCGGGGGTTGGAGGGCTAAGACCTTGCCTCTTGGCCTGTGATCCCTCAGATGTGGAACGTTACTCAGACAAATATCAGACATCAGGGCCAGTTGACAGTGCCATCGATTGGAACCCTGGTAAGTGACATATCCTTTCATCGACTGCCCTTCTTTCAAACCTTTGTGATGCCACCTCCCCCCAGATGCCCGTTCTCTTCCTGCCCCTTGAAGCATCTGCAAATTAAAGCTTTAGGTGTGCTCCAGTCAGTGTCAGATTCCACCTGAAAATAATGCGCTAGCCTAGCTCCTCCATTGGCACGAGCTGTTCTGACTAGCCCCTTCCTTTCCCTCCTTTCCTTTGCCTCTCACTCATCAGAAACCCAGGAAGGTCTTCCTGACACTTACACTGTCCTTCTTCCCAGATTGGCGGCGGCTCCCTCGGGAGCTAAAGATTCGCGTGCGCAAGCTGCAGAAGGAGCGTAAGTGTATCTGGGACGAGGGGGAGAAGAAAAGTGTCTTCCAGCATTTCCAGAGCCTCCCCTCCTCTCTGTTCCTACCCAGTCCTAGAGTTGTTGCCGAGGCCGTGATGGCCACATGAGGGCGGCAAAGGGGCTTGTTGGTTTGCTCAAGGAGGTTAGAAAGCTGGTAGGGAAACGAAGGCTGTGGCGTTTACCCTTTCATCCCCGACCAGGGACTACCGTCCTACTCCCCAAGAGGCCCCCTAAGACCACAGAAGATAAGGAGGAGACGATACAGAAGCTAGAGGTGAGCAGGAAGTGCTGCATACGCAAAGAGCTCCTGCGCCCCAGAGTCTACCTGTCCCTTGACCCATGTAGGCCTCAGCTTTCCCTTTCTGTGAGCTGAGCTGGGGTTTCTTTTCCTGTTCCTCTTGACTTAAGACCCTGGAGAAGAAGGAAGAAGAAGTGACTTCAGAGGAAGATGAAGAGAAAGAAGAAGGAGAAGAAAAAGAAGAGGAAGAAGAAGAGGAGGAGTATGATGAGGAAGAACATGAAGAGGTTAGGGACCTTCCACCCTAGGCCCCCTCCCAGCCCCTTCTAAGATCCGGGTTCCTCTTTACACCAGAGCTGTCCTCCTCAGAGGGCTGCAGGGCCAAAGGAAATAGAGCTGCTAAAGGAAGGGGCTTTTCTACCCCTCATCTGTTTCCAAGCACTTCTCAAAAATGAACAGTAGCTAGAGAGGCCGTCCCTGGCCTGGAATGGTGGAAGGGACTCACACAGAAGGAAGAAGGGGAATGCCAAAAGCACGCGTGGCCTTTGTCTTTCTTTTTCCATTTCAGGAAACTGACTACATCATGTCATATTTCGACAACGGAGAGGACTTTGGAGGTGACAGTGATGATAACATGGACGAGGCTATATACTGAAGAAAAATCCTAAATAACACTCAAGTTTATTTGAGAGCTAGAGAATAACTATTATTTAGTTTTATGAACAACAACAAAAACCATCATTTGGTCAGAGTGCAGTTATCCTCCCGGGCCCCCAGAGATGGGAACGGAGGACGATGACAAATGGTATTATTTCTTCCTCGTCCCCTTGTCCCCACGTCGCCCATATCACCTCTCATATCTTGGGGAAAGGGTCAATGCCTTAATCTACAAAGGGAGAAAAGAACATTGAAGGAGAAGTTGGCGAGTTAGGGCTGAGACAGTTACATACATTCCTTCCCAGTTTTTACAGCTTTTTGTGCATGAAATTGGGGTCAGAGGAGTTGGGAGGTGTAAGATGGGGCTTTTCCCCCATTTTTTTTTTATTGTGGTAAATAATAAATTCATTGTGGGGTAGTTACATATTTTTTAAATAAAATGTTTTTTATCTGTGTCTCTGTCCAGGATGAGCAGGGCTGCAGGAAGGGCAGAGGGGATGCCCAGCTGAGTTCTGTACCCGTCATGGCCCAGTGTGACACACAGGGACTGTAGCCTTCTTGTCCTTTGTCCCTCCCCTTGCTTCTCCACAGTGGGACACAAACCCAAAGCATAGCCCTGCCCAGGGATATCCAGGAATGCACCCACAGGGCCTTTTGGAGTGAGTGGTAGAGCACAGCCCGGGGCGCCCGCAGACCAGCTGGCGTCTGAGCCTCTAGTCCTTAGAGGGACATGATCACGTCTGTGGACATGTTCACAAGGACACAGGCCTTCCCTTTCCCACGCTTGCCCTTGAGCATGCCCTTATTTACACAGAATGATTACTGCTATTTTTGTGGGGAGAGACAGGAAAGCCAGGTGCAGGGCGGGAGGAGGGGCTGACTCTTACTTGGCTGACTCAGTCTTCCAGGCCCTGCACACTCCTCTCTGAAAGGTAGTCTCGGTGGAGGGAGCTCCCTCAATATACTGAGCTCCACGTGCGCAGGGCAGCACGTGGTGGCCTCTCCTCTGGTATTTCCCTAGCTAGCCATTCTTGCTGCCTTGGACTGGGGAGGCAGGGTTGCTTTACAGGAAGTAAGCAAGGGTGTGCCTTGGGGACACTCAGGGTTCTGAGAGATGCTTTCTCGCCCACACAGCTCTCTGTGAGTGAGGTCACTTCCCTGAGCTCTGATTGGCTTCTGAGGAAGCCTTGGATGAGCTGATTGGTTCCAGCCACAGGGCATGCAACAGTCACGGACAAGCTGCGTGTCCAGAATGGGTCCTGAATAAGGAAACATGAGTAGAAATCTGCGGTGCTACTACTGTGGCTCTGCTGACCATTTGAAAGTCATAAAATGGGACTGTAGGGGAACCTTCAAGAAATTTCCCAGCTGTGGTTAGACCAACTGAATTTTCTAATGTATCAAGTGATAGATAGCTAACCTAAGGCCAGGTGGCCTGTGAACCCAGCACTTGGGCTGAGGCAGGAGGATTGCTGTGTTCAAGGCCAGCCTGGGCTACAAAGTGAGTTCAAGGCCAGCCTGAACTGCATAGTGAAACCCTGTCTTAAAAAGAAAAAAAAAAGGTGGTGAGTGTTATGATAGAAGCAGCCAAGAAAAGACAGAGGGAACAGGAATAGAAGAACATTCCAGGGTTATTGAGCAATCAGTGATGATTGATGTACTTCCTTTTCTAACTGAAGTATTTTGTGTGAGTGGAGGGAGGGTAGAGGGGACCCGGCACCCATCATAGGGGTTTCTCGTAGTTATCCTCACCTGTAACAATAGCTAGAAAGCGATCAGATCAGCAAAAGTGAAAGTAAAAGACACGGAAAATCTGCCTTTGTTTTGCTTCCTTAGTGCACATGGGCGCACACACACCCGGCATTTCCAACTGAATCAATTATATTGGTTAATGGGAATTTGAAAGAGCAGGAGCAGAGCAACACCCCTGTCCTCCTTCTGTGTACACATCCTTTTCCACAAAATAGGGGAGAAAGTAGGGCAGAGGTTGGAATGACCACTTGAGATCCGTTGTACTGTCTCAAAGACAAAAACGTCAGAAAGATCCAACCATTCTTGGACTCTGCCCTGTCTGGCTTCCTGCCTTTTCTAGCAGGTGACATTTCTGGACAAAGCCAGAGACACGGGACCTAGCAGCTTTTCCAGATTCCAAAGCCGGCATGAAGTAGACCATTAACCTTTCACTGACTTACCAGAGTGGGCACACTGAAGCCAGAACTACAGCTCAGTGGACAGGGTCAGGGCTGCTGTTCTCGTGGACTGCCAGAGGTTGAGAGGTTGGGTTGACGTCTGGATAACAAACGTTTACAGAAGATCTGCGATGTGTTTGTCAGCCCTGTTCTTCATGCCTGCCAGGGCCTGTTTATGTTGAACACATTGTTCCCATACCCACAGTCTAGGCTGCCCTGGCCCCAGGCAGGAGAAGTTCTAGGACAAGAATCCTGTCTTTCCACACCCATGTTTTACCTGTGGCCTTCAATCCTGTCCCACTGGGGAAGGCAGCTTGGGGGTGGGATCTGCAAACAGGTTTGAGGAAGACCTGCATGGGAGATTTGGAAACAATATGTATGTAGATGAGTTTGGGAGTGAAGACCAGAGAGAATTAGAGGGTCAGAGGTCAGGTGGGTGGATGAAGGGGCACCTGTGGTTTTTTGAAGGAAAAGACAGGCAATTTATTTGACTCATTTTATTGCTGTTTGAACTCTGAAAGGAAAGGTGGCCTATAAGAACCAGCTGGTTAAGAGCTAAGTCAATGGGGCCGGGGAGATGGCTCAGTGGAATAAAGTGCTTCTCTGGCAAGTGCAAGGGCCTGAGTTTAAACCCCGGTTCTGCCAAAAAAAAAAAAAGAACAACTAAGTCAAGAGGAAGGATTGTTGTCTCAACTCATGCAAAGCACCCTTTTATTTGTCCTAGTTTCATCATTCTGTAGTTTTGTGCCCTTGAGAAAGCTGTATCCAACCTAATTTCCTCAAGTCTGATACATTCCTCAGTTTCCTCATATCTGATACATGAACTTAGACTAAGCGTCCAGTAGCTGCTCTTCTAGGTCCCACAGTGGGGCTGGTGTGGACGCACCTGCCAAAGTCCAAATGGTCTGGAGAACAAAGGCAGGATGTGTCCACCCTGTGCTGAACTCACTCCATCTGTGGGATTTTCCCACCTTATTTTCAGCCTAGGCAAGCTAAAGATACCTCAGGCATCTAGCCAGTCAATTCCAAGAACCTTTTCGGCAGCGGTGAGATCAACAATCCCATTAACTAGTGAGAAAGGAGAAAACTGTTAGAGCTGAGTTCAAGGTCATGACCTATAAATCGCGATGTAAGCAGGTCGCCAGAGATTTCTGACTGAGGAAGGGGTAGGTTGGTGCTGTCTCTCCTCAAATATTCCTGGCTGGAGGACAGAGAAGATAAATGAGCTAGACAAGAATAGCTCGGGTAATCTGGCTGGACCAGCGGTGACCTCCTCTCCACTGAACTTTCCCCTACTAAGATCTACCTTTTCCCCAAGGTTGTTTGGGATCACAGTTCTAGAAATGAGGATTTCCAGTTCCTAGCTATCACCTCAAAAAGGCCCTTGCCTTACCCAACAAAGCTTAACTTGCCGCTTTGTAACCTGGAGGACAAAAGGGGCCCCCACACAACCGTAGCTGGTAGTGAGTAGGAAGACACTGATCCAACCCTATAGACTTAAAAGGCTAAGTCTATCACCATGGGACTCTCAGAAGTGGTGGATGAATCCAAGGATTTCTCAGAACTGATCCTGACCAGTGTCCTCATGATCCACTGGATTATCCATTACCAAACCTCCCTCAGGATTCTCGGCTGTGGGATATGCTCCCCAAAACTGAATCCCCTGCCCCTCCCTAGATAGTCCCGATTCTGTGACTATTTCTCTTCATGCACAGTACAGAAGGGGGCAATAGCCAAATGCTATCTCTAACACTCAGGTCAGCGTGGATAGTGCTAGAATAGGAGGAGGTTATGTAGATCTGTCTTTGTCTTACCAAAAGGGGTACAGAGAAGAGAAATACAACTAAGTCGGGATTACAGATTTAGGGCCTTTCTCATAGAGAATAGGATGGTAAGTACTGGGGTGTCTTTTCCTGTCCAAATGAGGCTTCACCTATTCTCTCCCAGCTAAGCAAGACCTTAAATCCTTATCCCCAACTTTGTTGGGCTTCCCCCTTGCAGCACCCTATTTGCTACAGCTAAAGATGTAGCCATTTAGGAGAGAAACTCCCTCAACTAAGCTAAAGATTTTCCTTCATTTTTCTCAAGAAGGATGATGGTAAGAGGAAGAGAAATGAAGCCAGGGTCTGAGGGAAGACAGAGCAGTGCTGACCAGCCTTTCCTCAGTGCTCCACTTCCTTTCCCAAGCCTCTCTCCTGGCGCCTGGGCCACGGTCCTGTCTGCCCATACTTGGCCGCTCTGGGCCCTCACCTCTCCCTCACTTGGCCAGGCTCCTCTTCGGATCTTGCTTTCCACTCTGAGCCACACCTGTCCAGAGATATCAGCGATATCTCTCTTCTCAGGAGATGGACGGGGCCAGGCTGGGCTTGGGGAAGGGACCAGAAAGAGATTTCTTCACTCAGACTCATATGGTTGTCTTTTGGGTTTTGTTCCTCTCCTTGGTTTTCTGTGTCTTTGTCTCTTTGCCTCATGCCTTTACTAAATTGTGAGGCTTAAATCAGGCTCCTCTTGGGGCAATGTGCAGGGGGACTCTCAAGAGTCTCAGAGTGCATGGACGCAGCTTCCTGAATGTCAGTTTTATGTTTAAGATTTGGTGGGAAAAGATAAATCATGCTTACACAAAAATCAAGATAAGCCCGGCATGGTGGCTCAGGCCTGTAATCCCAGCACTTGGGGGACTGAGGCAGGAGGATCACTGGGAATTTAAGACCAACCTGGGCTACAAAGTGAGCTCAAGGCCAGCCTGAGTTGCATAGTGAAACCCTCTCTCAAAAAGACAAAACAAAACAACCCCCCCAAAAGCATATTATGCACTATAAATCAAACTTCGAAATTTTAAAACAAAATATAGGCTATAAAAGAAATTTGTGGCTTGTGACAGGCTGCTTTGATATGCTCTGGAAACCCTATGAAAATATTCACTCGCCTGAGCTTAGACATCCTGCACAGAAAATATTTGAGCTGCTCTTCTTAGAGCAGACAGCCTAAGGCCTAAACGCCAGACAGGAAGCCTACAGGTGTGGAGGATCAGGTGAGTGTAGCACAACCAGAAGTGGTAAGAACCAGTGAGCCAGCCTGGGCCTGCTTGGTCCCTCTGCTGCTCGGATTCATGCTATGAAGGAAGGTGGCCCAGTAGCCAAATGCGACTGCTTTCTAAGGGCCCTGTGCATGGTAGACAAACAGTGTATCCCTGACCAATACAGCCTCTGAAATCTGACTTCCGAATGTTTATAACCAAATTTTTAGGAGGAA